AGAGGGCATGGAATATAATATTCTGTAGGGCAAAGGAGATAGGATTACAACCAAGAATCACCTACCCAGCAAAACTGAGTATAATCCTGCAGGGGAAAAAATGGTCATTCAGTGAAATAGAGGACTTTCAAGCATTCTTGATGAAAAGACCAGAGCTGAATAGAAAATTTGACTTTCCAATACAAGACTCAAGTGGAACATGAAGAGGTAAACAGGAAAGAGAAAATCATAAGAGACTTATTATGGTTGAACTGTTTACATTCCTGCATGGAAAGGTGATATTTGTAACTCATGAGTCCTTTGTCAGTATTAGGGTAGTTGGAGGGAAAAAATTATATGTACGTATATATAGATATAGATAGATAGATAGAGGGCACAGGGTGAGTTGAAAATGAAGGGGTCATATCTGGAGAATAAAATTAAGGGGTAAGAGAGGATTACACTAGGAGAAGGAGAAAGGGAGAGGTAGAATGGAGTAAATTATCTCACAAAAAAAAGAAAAGAAAAGGCTCTTACAGTAGAGGGGAAATGGGGGAAGGTGAGAGGGCATGAGTGAATCTTATTCTCATAGAATTTGACTTAAGGAGGGAATAACATACACACTCAATTGGGTATGGAAATCTGTCTTACCCTACAGGAAAATGGGGGAGGGGGGAGAAGGGGACAAGAGAGTAGGGGGATGATAGACAGGAGGGCAGATTGGGAAAGGCGGTAATCAGAAGCAAGTACTTCTGAGGAGGGACAGGGTCAAAAGAAAGAATATAATAAATGGGGGGGTGGGATAGGATTAAGGGAAATAGAGTTAGTTTTTCACAACATGTCTACTATGGAAGTGTTTTGTATGACTGCACATATATAACCTATATTTAGTTGCTTGCCTTATCAATGAGAGTGGGTGGGGAGGGAGGAAGGGAGAAAATTTGAAACCCAAAGTTTTAAAAACACATGTTTAAAAAAAATGTTTTCACATGCAACTGGGAAATAAGAAATACAGGAAATGGAGTACAGAAATCCATCCTGCCCTACAGGAAAATTGAAGGGAAAGGGGTTAAGAGAAGGGGGGGGAGAGACAGAAGGGAAGGCAGACTAGGGGAAGGAGCATACAGAATGCATGCCATCTTGGGGTGGGGGAGGGGCGAGATGGGGTGAAAATTTGGAACTCAAAATTTTGTGGAAGTAAATGTTGAAAACAAAAAAATAAATAAAAATTACCATAAAAAACCAAAAAATTTAATTTTTTAATTAACAGAAATCTCCTGTCTTTTCTTCCTATCTCACTCCACCCCATCGAAAGAGAAAAACAAAATCTTTATAACAAATATAAATGGTCAACTAAAACAAATTCCCACATCATCCATAACCAAAAAATATACGTCTCCATCTGTACCCTGAATCCATCATTTCTCTGTCATCAAGTGGGTAGCATCCTCTAGAATCATACTTAGTCGTTATATTAATCAGAGTTCTTAAGTCTTCTAAAGTTATTTGTCTTTATGATATTTTTGTTATTATTGTTTAAATTGTTCTCCTAGCTCTGCTTACTTCATGCTATACCAGTTCATACAAATCTTCCCAGGTTTCTCTAAAAACATTTCCTTCATCATTTCTTACAGTAAAATAGCATTCCAGCACATTCATATACCTTGATTTGTTCAGCCATTCCACTATTGATGGGCACTCCCTTAATGTCTGCTTCTTTGCTACTAGAAAAAGATTATAATTTTTTTGTATTTATGGTTTCTTTTCCTCTTTGTTGATCTCTTTGGGATACAGATTTAGAAGTGGTAGCATTAGGCCAAAGGGTATGCACAGTCTTATAACCTTTGGGACATAGTTCAAATTCCTTTCCAGAATGACTAGACCAGTTCATAGCTCCATCAACAGTGTGCTAATGTATCTATATTCCTATTATTCCTCCAACATTTGTCATTTTCCTTTGTGTCAGCATTACCTATCTCATAGATTTGAGGTAAAACTGTACAATTGCTTTAATTCACATTTCTCTAGTTATTGGTGATTTGGGACATTTTTAAAGTATGGCTATTGATACTTTGGATTTCTTCCTTTGAATATTTCCTGCTTGTATCCTTTTACCATTTATTGATTGGACAATGACTCATTCTTTTTTTTTTTTAAGGCAATTGGGGTTAAGTGATTTTTTGCCTAGGGTCACACTGCTAGTAAGTGTCAAGTGTTTGGTCTGAGCCCGGATTTGAACTCAGGTCCTCCTGACTTCATGGCCAGAGCTCTATCCACTGCACCACCTAGCTGCCCCCAATGACTCTAATTCTTATAAATTTGAATCAGTTCCTTGTATGTCTCTGAAATGAAATGTTTATCAGAGAAAAATATATTTCCCCCAGTTACCTGCTTCTCCTCTATTTTTAGCTGCATTGGTCTGGTTTGTTAAAAAAATTTTTTTTTAAATGTTGTGTAATCAAAATTGTCCATTTTATTGTTTATGATCTTCTCCTTCATTGGTGATGAGTTATTTCCCTATTCATAGGATATATATGAGGTCAGGGACTGTTAAATGCTTTTATTTTTATTCCCAAAACTTAGCACAGTGTAGATCTAATTAGACTCATAGATCTAAAAGGTAATTTCTTCCTTGTCCTCCTCATTTGTTTTGATGTCACCATTTATGTCTAAGCCAAGTACCCTTTTAGAGTTTATCTTGGTATATGGTGTGAGATGCTGGTCTTTGCCTAGTAGGAAAATCACTTTTGGCAGCCAAGTGGAAGACCCTTTGGAGTGAGAAGATACTTGAAGTGGAGACCAGTTAGTAGACCGTTTCAATAGTCAAGGAGAGAGGTGATGGAGACTTGAACTAGGGTGAGGGCTATATATGAATGGGGAGAAAGGGACATATATGATAGATGCTGTGAAGCTAAAAATCACAAGATTTGGCATTGCTGTTCTAGATGCTGAGGATAGTTTTGGAGTCAAAGGACCTGGATTTGAATCCCAGAACAACTACTTGTCACTTACATGAGCTTAGGCAAAGCATTTAATCTCTCTGAACCTCAGTTTCTTAATCTATAAAATGAAAGGGAGATCCATTCCAAAAGTAAATCCCATGATTCTCTGATTCTTCTCCTCTCCTCTCTTCTCCTCACACTTTCTCTCTTGTAAATCTCATTCACTCCCACAGTAAAACCTCTATAGAGATGCCTCCCAAGTCTACATCTCTAGTCCTGACCTTTCTTTTGAGTTCCAGATCAGTATGTCAACTGCCTGTAGGACATTTCCAGCAAGATGGTCTACCAGCACCTTAAATACAACAAATCCAAAACTGAATTTATTATCTATAAGTCTGTTTTTTTGTTTCTTACTTCATTATTTCTGTTAGTAGCTCCACCATTCACCCAGTCTCCCAAGTTTGAAACCTTAGTGCTATCTCTGATCCTTCCTTCTCCCTCATCCTTCATCCCTCATGTTTGATTAATTTCCAAATCCTGCTGATCTCACCTCTGCAATAACTCATGAGTCCATTCCCATCTCTGTCACCTCATGGTCTGCATCGCCACCTTGGGAAACCTCTGCCTTGGAGCAGAGAAAAGGTTTCTCTCTTCACTGATAATTCCTTCCCCCATGGCCATTTTAAGAAGTTCCTCAGTTGTACTTTACTTCACTCTCACCTCCATTCTTTCTGGATTAGACATCCTTCTCTTTACCTGCTACACTATCCCTTTTTGAGTATCTTTCCTCTCCCCTCCCCACTCTTTCCAGTACCCCCTACATGTATTATCTTCCCCTATTAGAACATAAACTCCTTGAGGTCAGGGACTGTTAAATGCTTTTATTTTTATTCCCAAAACTTAGCACAGTGTTTGGCACATAATAAGCACTTAAAAAACTCTCTCTCTCTCTTTCTCTCCTCCATATATATGTATATATTAACATATATATCCATTATCCATCTCTCTCTCTCTATATATATATGTATATCCATCTTTCTACATATATGTGTATATATATATATCCATCTCTCTCTCTCTCTCTCTCTCTCTCTCTCTCTCTCTCTCTCTCTCTTTCTCTCTCTCCGTCTCTCTCAATTCTCCAAAGCCTGGTGCCCCTGTACCTTTCTATCTTTATCTCATAAGGCACCTGTCCACATACTCTGTGCTACATATTAGACTACTTTCTAACCTTGTATTTTGCCATCTCCTCCACGAATTTTTCCCTGATTCCCCTAACCAGTCAGAAGTCTTATCTTGGAGCTCACAAGGCATTTTATTTTGTACATCTCTATTGTATTTCTCATGTAATATTGTATTTGTCTGCTTGTGTCTAGCTCCCTACCAAGGTGTAAGAGATGTCCCCCAGTACCTAGCAAAGTGCTCTGTACATAGGAAGTGCTTACTAAATGTGTTATTGAATAATGAGTTCTAATTCAGGGCTATCACAGGATAGAAATTTCTGTACAAATAAGCATGCATCTGTAACCCCCCCCTCCAAGGTCACAGTAATTGTTTTTCCTTTCAGAAAGGGACGTTCTGGTATTTCTTCTTAGAGTTGCCTTGTGCATCTCAGCAGTTTCTTCTTATCTACATAGTGCAGCTATACTTTTTTCACCCAGACCGAGAGTCCTTTGCCACTAAATTAAAAAAGAGAGCTACAAAGCCCCAAGTTCTGCCGCTGTGTGCACTGGCCGCCCTGCCAATACAGCACATACCTCCAATGGAGTGGTACTATGATGACAGTAGCCAACCAGAGAGCACCATGCAAATGAGACTACTGTATCCCATACCAGCTGCTTCAGTGCTGGCTGTTGTTATAGTGATAAAGTGAGGCCTTGCCGCCTTGCGTCTCCTGGAAAGAAGGGGAAGGGAAAAAAAAAAAAAACCAAACCACAAAACAACAAAACCCTTTAGTCCCTCCAGGGAAGGAAGAAAGAAGAAGGGGGGTGGAGGAAGTATGTGACAAAGAAAACATTTTCCGCCTGAAAGGAGAACAACAGAAGGAAGGGGTAGAGCTGCCGGGAGCATTCACTGGCCATGCCAGTGCTCACCACTGATGCTGAGTCAGAAACAGGTATCCCAAAATCCCTTTCTAATGAGCTTCCCTCAGAAACCATGGAGGAAATAGAGCACACATGTCCTCAGCCTCGACTGGTAAGTAAAGACAAAGGATGCATATGCATATGCGTTCATATACATGTGTACATATATATATGAAAATATGGATATGCATTTTCTCTCTCTACATTTAAATTTATATTCACAAAGGAATTTTTTGTGGTATTTTAGCTAGTAAGGAAAGCAATGCTTAGAGGATTTTCATAAATGAAAATCTAATGCTATCTAATACATCTATACAGAGAGGTTTTTAGCTTATAAGGAACTATTGTATTGGCTGAATGAGAAACAGGCTGCTTTGAATAAACTGTGTTTCTGTGTTGGGAAGGAAGGGATGGTGTTACCCTTATGTGGGGTATTCACTTCTGAAGAGAAAAAGATACCATGCAATTTTAAAATGGCATTTCCTTTATTTATCTTGGGGAAATCCCTCATTAAATTCTGAATTGAAGTAAAGGTATCTATCCTTCCTGATTGTGTGCTTAATGCTAATTTGGGAAAACAAAAACGACATAGAGGCAAAACTTCTATATTCATCTCAAAAAAGAAAACAGCTTCCCAGAGCTGCATTCTAAATGGTATGACCATCGCACCTGGATCTTAAATGAGTTGTAAGAGATTTCCAGAGTGCACTGGCAAGGTTTCACTTCAGGTAGTTGGAACTGGGGGAAGCTATATTTGGAGAAGAGCTGCAGTAATTTAACAATGAATGCATAGAAATAGTATGCTCTAAGATAGCAGCCCCCCAGAATGGAGGGGGCATTCTTTTATCTATGTTTTACTGAATTTGGTCAACTACTCTATTACTGTTCAGGATCCCTACCTTGGATTTGTAGGCTAATTCTGCATGGCCCCCCGAGTGAGGCCTTACCAACTGGAAAGTACCAAAAGATATGGTCAACTTCCTGTTGTCTGAAGTCCTGTAAAACTTTGGGTGTCCTTGTGTTTCTTCTCTTCCTACTAAACGATGGAGGCAACATGACACCATCACCTTTCCACCTTGGAAGTGAAGCATGAACACTGGATCATACACTTTAGAACTAGAATCTGGCTATATACCACCTGTAGTCCAATCTCCTTATTTTACAGATGAGAAAACTGAGGCCCAGAAGGTATTGAATGTCTGTGCTAGGTGCTCAAGTGGAAATGTTTTCTAGAATTTTCTGAGGTAACATGTACTATAACACCTCCAAAATTAAAAAAAAAAAATGTTCTTGGACTAAAAGTCTAGCCCCAAAGAGAACATAGACTTCCTAATAAAGATTCAAGGATAGGTTTAAAATAACTTTGTATAAGGCGGGAAAACATGTCTGTGTTCATTATTCTTTCCTCTTTTGGAGGCCTTTTCTTCTCCATGAGATTGCCATGTATTTTCTGAGGGTATCTTATTCTGAGTTGCCAACGAGGGAATCACTGTCACTTCACCAAAACATTATGGTTGTACTGAAGGATGTGGATAGTGATGCTACTTGGTTCCCATGCCAGCACAGACCCCATAAATGAAGGCAGAGTGGTAAGGCATTAGATTGTAGCACTCCTCCAATAGTTTAGAACTAAAAAATAGAAAAAGACTGATACTAGAGGTCATTTATGTAATTAGCTAGATTTTTTATAAAAATCAATACTGATGTTTAAACAATCCTCCATAATTACAGAATAGCAGTGAAGAGGCAATCATGGCAATACTTGAAGAGTGTGTCTATACTGTCTTTTCATCTACTTTTAAAAGAATTTCCTATGAAAAGGGGAGAGGGAGGAGGGAAATCACCTTCCAAGTCAGAGACAGACTTTTCATGTTGTTCATTATTTTGGTGTCTTGCTGATGAGGTGCTTGGGTTTGGGTGCTTGTGTTTGGGTGCTTGTGCTTGGACCCTAATTTCTCCCTAGTCTCAGAAACACTGTCTCTGGCAGTTTCTCCCCAGCCCAAGGACACTGTGCCTAGCAATTACTCATGAGTGGGCCCCAGCAAGAAGACCCTTATCTCTCTCCCTGGTGCAGTTACAAACAGCACCTGAAGGAATTAGTTTGAATTGGCTTTGCACTGGGCCATAAAGATATTCTTACCTACTGGACTATCTATACTACCGCCCTACCTCATTCTCCACTCCTGGATGCCTCATCATCTATATTCTAGCCTTAAGACATTTGTATACTCTCTACATGTATCTTGTCAAACAAGACATTGACTGGTGGCAGACTGGACAACTCTCAGTTACCCCTGAACTCTAGTTAACTTAGTGACATAGCAGGCCTAAAACCTCACCTCCATGTGCCCACCCCCGTGGGCTTTTCCCAGTGAATTCTGGGTAAAACGCTTGTGCGGTAGGTACAAGAAGTGCATGTTCCTTTAAGAACTGATCACTCCTTAACCACTACCTAATCCCACCCTGAATCACCTAGTTAGCATATTTGGCACATGTTTTATTATATTTTGTCCTATGTAGACTTTAACTGTATCCCTCTAAGATCTCAGGTTCCTTAAGAATCCTTGCCCGCTGAAAAGCATAACAATAAACTTTTTGCCAACTTAACTTAAAGAATGCTTGAGTCTATGAATTCATTCCAGACGACCCCTTCCTGTACTCCAGTCTTTGAGGAGTCTCAACCTCTCAGACCACAACATTGCTTGTCTTTCTTTTCCTTCCTTCGCCCACATTTAAGCTATTTTACTACTCTTTAGTGTTTCTACCTGAAGGGTAAATGAGGGAAAGGGTCAGAAAGTGAGACACAACTTCTTTTATTCCTTGTTAGCAGCTCTAATCTAAGACAAAGGGGGAAAAAAAGAGGTTGAATCTGTTGTATAAACTGATTACTTCCAGTAACCTATCTTTGGATTTCAATTTTCTAATATTATCATGGATAATTAAAATTCGGCATTAATTAAATAGGGGTTATAGCCAACTGGAAAATCACTTTCAACTTTGGTATATTAGAAAGAGAAATGAATTTGGATTATATTTCCAGATCTTGCTATCTAGAGAAATTATTTTCCCTCTCTGGGCCTTAGTTTTCACATCTATAAAATGAAGAGGCTAGAGTAGATGTTCTTTAAAATCCTATCCCTTATAAGAGCATTTTATTTGCTGGTGTAGAGCTTAGTCTAAATGAGCATGTTGTTGTTCAGTTGTTTCAGTTATGTCTGACTCTTTGTGATCCCATTTTGGGGTTTCTTGGCAAAGATACTGGAGTGGTTTGCCATTTCCTTCTCCAGCTCATTTTACAGATGAGAAACTGAGGCAGAGAGTTCAGTGACTTGCCCAGGATCACACAGCTAGTAAGTGTCTGAGTCCAGATTTGATCTCAGGAAGATGAGTCTTCCTGACTTCAGGTACAGCACTCTATCTACTGTGCCACTAGTTGTCTCTATTCTGGAAAGCAGTATCCAAGTATCTATAATTCTCTTTTGCTAACTCTGAGTCCCCAGCCAAAGACAGGATTTCTGGTAAAAACACCTCAGTGTTATATTCATCTCGATCTCTTCTCTAGGAATGCTTCTCCTCAGTTGCCTCCTCCCAAATGTACTTTCCTATGTGTACCATGAGTAGCAAATACCAGAGGTTAATGCTAATTTTTTTAAAAGAGTAAAAATTAAAAACAAATAAAGATTAAACTCCCTCACCTACCATCCTCCATACCCAGAGGAAAAGACTTCAGGCTCCCATGAAGGTACTCAAGGAGGAATAAGAGATATAGGATTATTGCCTTGGGGGTCTGTAGTCTGGCAGGAGGTGGAGGTGGGAGGAATTGTTCTGCACTGGAGTCTCTGTGGATTATTCTTCACTGTTGAGAGCTACCTTTTTGAATCATTCAATAGAATAATTTGTACCTCCTAAAGAGATCACTTGGTGTGGCCATATTTTTTACATTTATCTTAAAATCTAATTGTTGTTTCTGTCGTTAGGCCTTGGACTTTTAAGGACCACTCCTTTACATTTTAGCCTAAATTAAACATTTAGTAAAACAATTGGGGTATATTTGGTCCTAGCTGTCCATAATCCCAAATTGTGAAAAACTCTCTAGTGACTTGAGGTTTAAATTACATGCAATGTGTATTACATACAAATCACAATAGTAATACATATCCATACATGTAAATATGTACAATATCTAATGCAAAAACATTAATAGGTATACATGATAACAGGCCATGAATAAACAACAGTAAATATGCAAATAGACAAATAGCAAAATTATGCAAGTATATCTAGGGTACACAAATATTCAGCAAGTACCACATACATCAAAGAACATAGGCAATTACATGTGAGGCATATCTTACTTAGGTAAACTGTATATATAACTGCTTTTTCAGTTTCCCCTATAAAATCATGTTAGTCTTCTCACAAGCTGAATAGATCCGGTCTCCTGTGATTTGTTGACCTATCTGTTGCTGTACTTGAACTAGTTGATGGTATGGGCTGATGATCATCCTTATCAGCACCATAGTCCTCCATCCCTAAACTCGAACTTGCAAACAGTCCAGGCTGTCCAGCAGTGTTACTGTATTTGGTAGGCTGTCTCTGTACCAAAAGCATTTCTACAGCTGAAATTTCAGGCAGGAAAGGTATTCCTTGTGGGTTCAGTCCTCACTCCCCATTTGGCTTGATGGTAGAGTTACATACAGCATGTCAAGTCTTTATCACTTGAAATGTCTAAGCCAGTGTCTAGTTCAGAGAATCTTTGGAAAAACTGTTAGTTACTTGTCTCCTTATGTTCAACTAACTCTCCTATAGGCAATAAATGGGTGCAGTGAAATGTCTTTATGTGTCTTTATGTGACTCCTACCAGATTCTAGGGTTGTTCTGTAAATCAGCTAGTTACAATCAATCAATCAATCAACATTTATCAAGTGCCCACTATTTACCAGGCACTGTGCTAAGCAGTGGGTATACAGAAAAAAAAAAAGACAAAGGATTATCCCTTCCATCAAGCAGCTCACAGTCTACTAGGGGAGGTGACATGCAAACAAATAAATACAAAATAAGCTATGTGCAGGATAAACAGAAAATAATGAACAGAGGGGATGGGAAAGACTT